GATCGAAGCACTGGATGAAGTTTACCTGACACCTGTCAAGCCAGCCTGGAAAAGGTTCTTGAAAAGTACTTGTGATAATAGTGGGGCGAATTATTACAAGAGGAGTTTCTTCTCTCAAATGGCCCAACAACATTTCTCCCATTGCCTTTGTGAATGCATAAGTATTGGGCCATCCATACTTATTTGCTCTGTCACATATTTAAATAAATAAATAAATATAATATTTTTTTTTATTATTTTAGAATTTATGCAAATAAAGAAATAAATAGTTTGAAAAATTACCTTTGAATACCCAATTCCTTCATAGTTGATGCAATGTATTTTTCCGGGGCAGATTCCGCCCGGAGCTTTTTCAATAATTCGTCCACGATTTTCTTCTCGTTTTCGATATCCAGTCCACGTGTACCGTTCAGAGTGGCTCCCATGTTAAACGGCGTTTCCAGAACTAGCCCCTCCTTCTCCCCACACACGTATGCTGAAAATTTTAGTATTTATTTTTGAATTATTATTTTCATTTAATTTAATCAAACTATTTTTAGTTAATTTAAATATTTTATTAAAAAATATAGTAATTAGTAATAATAATAATATCTAACCGGTTGATACGTGAAGGAGGAGCCTTAAGTTTCTGCATTTCATCGAAAAATTTAAAATATTCGCAGGTCCGTAAGTATTGATCCCTAGTGCAACATCGTATCTGTTCAAAACAAATTAATAAACGAAGAAGATGATCGTACCTCGTTATTAGTATTAACAGCAAATTAGCTTACTTGCACAAGCAATTTTCTTAACATAATCCGTATATTTATCGAAGATGTAGCACTAATTTCGGGTACATTAACTGAAATTTGCTCCAAATCGACAAATTCCACTTTAATTAATTATGACTTTTATTTTCTCTGCACGAAATCTCATTTTTCATTAATAATTAATATCTTTACTTATAAGTGGCCATTTTTTGAAATCTTATGTTTGCAATTAATCTAAAACATAAGTGAGTTTTTTGCAATAAAGTGAAATAAGTTGATAAATATGGTGCAGATTTTTGTTAACACATGGTATATTTAATTTGTAAATGCTATTTACGGATTTACCCCTTAATAATTCAAGCTAATAATATTCTTTTCCTTTTCTTTTTGCATAGGTACATATTCTTCTAGATTGGCATCGAATATATATAATATATATGATGCCATAGCATTTTAAGTTGAAATAAAAGCAGGTAATTATTGATGTATAAAAAAATAATAAATAAATAAATAAATAAAAAGGAATAATTTTTAATATTGATACCTTTCATCAAAATCAGTGGTTGCAGCTGAATTTACGATAATATCAACTTCTTGAAAAAGCTCTTCCAAAATGGATTCTTGTAATCCCAAGTCGTCACGAGTGATGTCACCATTCAGCACAGTAATTTTTTCCAGGATTAAAGAATTCAAATTTGCACCATATTTCTCCTTTACTACCCCAAACAAGTCCTTACCTATCACCTTCATTAATTATTTAAAAATAAATAAAAATATTATCCATTCAAATAAAATTGATCTTACTATATGATCATTATCCATTACAAAATACTCATGGCAAGATATATATGTGTAACCTAATACTATTATGGGTAAATTACGAAAACCCCACTAAAGTTAGATTATATTTTAAAAATCACCTTCACCTATTCGTAATTATCAAAAAAGCCCTGACGATTGTTTCTTTCTTACACCAACACCTGACAGTGCGACTTTTCACGGATTTTTTTTATTCTAGAAAATAGACTTTACACAATTTAAGATATTTTCTTTTATTCCTCACCTATTTAACAGAATATATAATAGATTGTACACATTTTCTGTTAAATAACTCGATCAACAGTTAATCAAAGGGGTCTTTTAATTATTACGGATACGAGGAGGTGTTTTTTGTTATTTAGCCTAAGTTCAGGAGGGTTTTCGTAATTTATCCTAATATTATATATTCCAGGAAATCTACAATAAAAAAAAATTAATATCATATAAACATAATATAAGTTATATGAAAACACTAAATTATATAACGTATATTGAAAACACTAAAGTATATTTGATCAAATTAAAAATAATTATCCATAACAACTTATTTTCTGAATTTGATTATCGAAAATACCAATTAATTAAAAATAAATAAAAGTCAAACGGATAATTTAGGTTTCAACGTTGACTGATATATATACAGACAACATAGGAGAAGGTGTTGAGAAATGATGACGACGACTAGCTCACACATGTCATGTTCGCTGACTTACACAATCGATGACGTCACTCTTTTAAGTATGAACACTATCATCCAAGTATATCAAATTAGTGTTTAATTGATAAACATTATTTATTTTTTATAAATTAAAAAAATGTACAAAAATAATAATAATGAAATCACCAAATGTTAGTTAGAGATTCTTGATACGATACCTCAGTATTGAAACGATGAAGAGCTGAAACAGAATCTTCAGCCCTCAATAGAAGATACAGCTTCTTCACCTTCGGTTGTACCCTCATTATTTTCTCTATCAACACTGTAATATATATATATATATATATATATATATATATATATATATATATATATATATAATTCAAACACACACAAACATGTGTATTCAGTGTTTGTGAGAGAGAGAGAAGAGAGATAGTGTAATGGATGAGCTAGAGAGAAAGGTAATAAAAAAATACCCTTTGCAAGAAAACCAGTGGCACCAGCTACAAGAATGCTCTTGTTCTCAAGAAACTGCACAATGCTCAAACACTCCATTTTTATTCTATCTTTTCTTTTCTTTTTTATGTTGTGTGAAAGGGAGCCAGCTCAGTATGCGGCTGTTTCT